AATGTCACAAAAACTGGGTTGTTGTCCCTTGTCCCTACTGACCAGCCACCGAAAAATAATTATTAGACCAACTTACACTTATCTAAAGTCTACGAAATTTTATATGCATATACTACACACACAGAGCTATACTTCCCAAATTTTTGGGATTTTTGGAGTTGATTTGGTATTTAAATTAAATCGAACAAAAACAAGACAGAGACAAATTTTTAAGTAGTTCACAAATTAAGAAAAACGAGTTAGGGGAATTGCTATCCACCACCAAATAATCATGCAAACATGTTATGTTTCATTCAAATTCCTTTCATTTTTGGATGAAGATGCACAAGTTGGCTCAATGTTAGAACTCAACCTATTACTCTTTCTTATGTAGTATGTTAAGAGAATGACGTTTTCAACTTAAATTAGTCCCTAACATGCAATCTCGAATGGTGTGTTCATAGATTTAACAAGTAGAAATCATTAAGAACGAAAAGAGTTCATCAATGAGACAAGTAGTGAACCAATTTTCATCCATTCGTAAAAGTAATTCAAACGAAATGTCATAACAAACTTGCAATCATATTAGGGGCTTCAAAACAGCCCCTAACTACTAAAAATTAGTTACACATAATTCTCAAATTAAACCAAAAGAAAGACATGAGTTTGAGAAGATAAAACCGAGAGAGGAGAATGCCAAGATTTCCTCTTTCCTTTCCTTCCTTCCTCAACGTAGCAGCTTTGCCTTTTTTCCTTGCTTTCCTTCCTTTTTTTCTATCTTTTTTTCACACTTTTTTTTTCCTCTTTGCTGCTGCAACCTGTAGCCCTTTTCTTCTTTTATGCTGCCACAGTTTTTTCTCCATAACTCACCCCACTAACAGCCATTTAGTGATGATAATAAGTGAGAGGAAATGCTAAAACAATTGTAAGCCCATTACTCAGTTAATTTTTCATTTCCTCTGATATTTGAATAGGTGTTAGCTGGCTTGTTCTTGGTTGCATCAGTTTTGGCTGCTAGTTTTATGGGATTTATTGCTTTCGATGCTTTCAGTTACAAACTGCTCAGCCTCTTGAGAACCTTTTAGTGTTAGAACGACCATAACTTTTTCTAGAAAATTGATATTAACAATCCGCGAAATGCTCCAAAAAATAGACATCCGTAGCTTTCTAAGCATATAAGGCTCATTCTCTAATTCATTCTGAGCTATCCACAAATTTCTTCCAAAGTCAAGTGACCTGCATAGGCAGTTTTGACGAATTTATTACTTAAAATTCCACTTGTGTTATTTGTCTTTTCTTTACTTGACAAATCCTACAAAACACAAAAACAAAGTAAATTACTCAAAAATATAAGGAACTAACTAAGAAAAGACAAGTGAATTTGATATAAAATATATATAAATATAAGCTTATCAGGACACATTTCGACGGTCACATTTTACAACAAACAAAAATTTCAACAACGTTCTGAAGGCCTTGAACATAATTGCATCAGATTTGATAATCCAACTTGGATCCACGATGCCAACTAAAATAAGAGAAAGTACAAGATTTTACCCTGATTTTAAGGTTAGTAATTTGTACTTATCTTAACAATGTCCTGATTAAACTGGTTTCATAAACATATTCTTAGCTATGTATCAACTCTTATAATTATTTTATGATTGTGTTGGAGCTATTGATAGAACACATATACCAGCAATGGTATCATGACTCGAAGTAGCTAGCTATCGTGATTGTCATGGTAAAATATCACAAAATGTATTAGCTGCTTGTAACTTTGATTTGGAATTCATAGATATTCTTAACAGATGGGAGGGTTCAGCTCATGACTTCAAACTGTTATATGATGTTGTATCAAGGAGGAACAAACTTACAGTGCCACATTGTTCATATTCATTTATTTATTTACATTAGGACGTACCATAAATAATAACTTTATGTGTTTTAATTTTAGGTTATTTTTTTTTCTAGTGGATTGTGGATTTGCAAATCGTCATTAATTTTTAGCTTCATTTTGAGATGTTCGATATCATCTCCAAGATTTTGCTGTTAACGATTGTGACCCCGTAAATGTGAATGAGTTGCTCAATCTTCGACATGCTTCCTTGAGAAACGTAGTGGAGAGGATATTTGGTGTATTTAAATCTCGATTCATGATTTTAAGTCCACACCTCCATTTCCAATTAAAACACAAGCACAGTTAGCGTTAGCTTATGCAGGATTGCACAACTTTCTTCGCAAGGAGTGTCGTTCTGATGAATTTCCAATCAAACATGAAGATGAAGAAAATGATGATGAACTAGGTAATCGAACTTAAGAGCAACAACGACAGATTGCTAATGCATGGAGAGCTAGTATAGCTACAAATATGTGGACATATGCTGTGAGTGATAGCATTCAAAGATGAGAAATAGAGAATTAATTGTTTTTACAGATTGGAGTACGCAATTTGTGTTTGAAAAACCTTGATAGCTAGTTTATTTTGTAAGCCTTAACTTTCAAGATTTTGGATGCAAACATTTAATTTCACTTTGATAGCTAGTTGAAAACATTGCATGTGAACGTCGTATTGCGATCTGGTATCTGTAGGATGAAACTAATTTTGGCTTTGTAAAGGAAAGGAAATTGTTCATCAAATTCTCTGAAATTCTCTAGGCCAATGTAAAGAATTCTTTCACAATTCATGTGAATTCTCTTGAATTTGTAATTAATTCACTCAAAATCTCTAGGGAATTCATTTTTTTTTCTTTCTCAAACTCTCTCATATTCCATAGATTTAAATTTTGTGGAACTCTCACAAAATCCTAATTGAATATAACATCTTAAATTGGCCATGCACCATGCCGCTTCATTTGAACTTTTGAAATATATACAAATGTCTGAATTTTTCTTACAAACATATACTAAAATAAATAGTTAAATATGGAGTTTGGGAGAGAAGTTAGATAGTTTTTTTTTTATTTTATAAATGTTAAAAGAAACGGTTAAATGAGTAACCATTTGCAATCACAGGTAATATCCACAATCATCCATTTAAGTTTTACGGTTAAACAGATATATCCATATCTGTTTATTTATTTAAACGTTACCTATAACTGTACCAGTGAGTTTTAAACGGGCTGGCTGGTATTATGCTTACGCCTAGTTATACTCGAGGTTTTTCTTTAGATGGTGGTTGGTTGTTTTTGGAGCCAAAAAAAATGAAAGATAACAAAGTAATGCATGTATGCCACAAAAGGGGTGAGCGATTGTATCATTGTTCTTGTAGAAATTTTGGGTCATGGCCCAAAACAGACATTAGAGCCCAAATTTGGAACACTTTGTTCTTCTCTTAGGGTGCTTTTGTTTGCACTCGCTAGCATTCACTAGACAGGATTAGATTAAGTGGGAATGCAATGATGTGTCTGTTCCATGCCGGGATAAGCTTTAATGAGACTTGCCCCGACTAACCAAGACTAACAGCTTCGCTAAAGGGTCTTAGCAAGAACCCCTGAAATCAGCCCGATTACTAAGTCCAACTCCTTGCTTCGCCTCCCCCCCCCCCCCCCCTCTCCCTCTCTTCCTCTTCCTACTTGTTCCTCGCAAAATTCGAAACCCAAATCCCATTTACCTACTGCTCTACTTCGCCCCTCTCATATACCATTTTCAAACTTAAATCCCTCAAAATTTGAAAACAACAAAGGAAAAAAATTATACACTCTTTCCATTCTCAAAACCAAATCCAAACCCAAATTTGACACCAAAAAAAAAATAAAAAATTCGATGTCCGTATGAAAAGCACAGCAGTCGTCCATTCACACATGCACAAGAGTTGTTCTAATTACACATGCACTCCAGACTCCCTAATAGCAGACCTTCGTCGTTGACACCGGAGAAGTATGGATTCTGATTTGCCAATTGAGTCTTAGAAAAATTAGAAAAAGAAACAAGGAAGATGAACGAAGAAAAATAGGAATAAAAAGGTGGAGATGAGAAGGGAGAGGGACAAAGAAAAAGAGGGATTAGGACGAAGAAACTTATGAAGGGTGAGGGAAATGAACAGAAAAGGAATAGGAAAGCACTACAGAGGTTTCTAGAGAAGAAAAATATAGACAAAAGTGAATAAAATAATAATAAACCTAAATTAATAATATAAAATAATAATTATAGTGAATTAAATAATATATTATTAGAATTTGTTATTGTTTTTAGTTCTTGATCCGATACTACACCAAATGTTTCATTGAATTAGTTTAACTTAATCTAGTCTAAACCAATTTAATTTAATCCTTAAAATTAATCGAGTCCGAAATAGTCCAACACAACAAACTCACTCTTATAAACTCACTCTTATAGTTTGATTTGCGCCTTGGACTGCCATTGATCTACATCAGTTTAAAACTACTCTAACATCAAAGTAGACGCAAAATGAACAGAAACACTTCTGACAAGGCCTAGAATGAATCAATCCATTTATAAGAAAATACAAATGCGTCGCACCGCAAAAGAAATTCACAAAGCATTAATTGTAGATGTTTGCTCAAGCTCAAACGGTTTCTCCAGAAAACTAGACTTCAGTTGTACATGCATTGCGCAAATAGCCCTCTAACGGATGAGTGTTAACTCTTGCATATTTGAATTCTGTCGATTCTTTAATTAAAATCTAATCTGCAAATTTAAATTCTATCAACTTCCTAATTTAATATCTAATCTAACATCGCATATTCAAATTTCATCACTCCCTAGTTTAACATTTCTATTATTTAACAAAGAAACAAATAGTACCCATTTGACCAAAATTCACCAAACCCACTAGACATGCTTCTAACATAGCATTGACAAATAGGGTTCAAAGGGAGCCCGACTAACTTCCGAGACAAGTCCATTCCATAACCTTAACCCTGTTAACAGAGTGGGGCATTCGTGTATCTGAATTCCGTAAATTATTTGATAAACTTGGAACAAAATTGTTCTTCGTCGAAAACAAAATAGATCACAATTAACACAAATATAAGATGAATAATAATTAACCAGCAAAATCAAGTGAAAACAAGTAGATTTTCCATTCAAAACATAAAATTGAAGCACTTCCATACCTAATTCTACACACCAACCAACCCATTTACAAAATCCCCAATCCGAAACCTTAATAACCTAACCCCCAAACCCGTAGAGAGTCCTGCCCTGCCTCTTGAGCGCGTAGACGACGTCCATCGCCGTCACAGTCTTCCTCCTGGCGTGCTCAGTGTAGGTCACAGCGTCACGGATCACATTCTCCAAGAAGATCTTGAGCACTCCACGGGTCTCCTCGTAGATGAGGCCACTGATACGCTTGACGCCACCACGGCGAGCCAGACGGCGGATGGCGGGCTTGGTGATGCCCTGGATGTTGTCCCTCAGCACCTTCCTGTGCCTCTTGGCTCCTCCCTTTCCCAGCCCCTTGCCTCCCTTGCCGCGTCCCGTCATTGCTCCGATATGAAATTAGGGTTTTGATTTGGGGTCGAGTAAATTCGGCGTGCAGGTGTTTGCGGGGAACGAGAGGGAAGCTGGGGTGTTTATATAGAGAGAGGTTTGGGAGTGAAACGTGGGTTTTGTGTTTGTTTACGTGAGATTTTGGGTTCGGATTGGGCACAATCGACGGTTGAGAGTTGCGATCCGTGCGTGGGTTTGGGTGAGGGGCGACCGTGGATTGTGTTTGGATCGACGACTGGCGGGGAGTAGAAGACTGGTGTGCGGATTATGGGTTCACGAGGATCGATGATGTGGCGAGTTTTGTGTTTTTTCGACAGATATGACTGTGAACCGTTGGATTTAAGCGTTAACTGCGTCTACATAATCGGGGCGACTCGGATTGAGCTTTTTTTTTGCGTCGTGAATGAACTAATTAACTAATCACTTAGCACAAACATGAAATTATCCTTCCAATTGATGTTTGAAAATGGTTTAACAAAAAAATTAAATTTTCGAGATTGAGGTCGGACAATTTGTCTTGAACAATTTGTAAACTAAATGATGTGTCACCAATAGAAAATAAACACGTTAATCAATGTTTAAATAATAATTCAATCATCAACCAGAAAGATCATATAAAAACTAATTCCAAATTAGCTAAAAAAATTCAATAAATACAAAAGTTTAAAAAATTATAAATTGAGGATGAAAATTATAGGTTTCTTACCGTTAAATTATTAACCTCATATGTATAGATGAATAACTGAAAATACACGGCTAAATTTTGAAATTTTAGATCCTTAAGTTGGAGATAGCCTAATAGTAGCTCTTTCTAATGTTGAAGAAGGTTCATTGTTTGAATCATTAACCCTAGTTAATAAATAAATAAAAGGGTCATGGTTCAAGTACATTCTCGTCAATCTACAGGACTAGCAATTAGTCTACCTGATATTAACTAAGGGTCGAGCAGAATTAGTGAGGGCATATTTACTTAATTTTCACGTACGAGAATGATATTAGATCAATGTATGAATAATACACAATTATTCAGAGTTGGTGGTGGTGGTCATGATTCATTAGTGCAGCGGTGCCTTGGATTGCGAGATTAGGTACGCATGTGGTCGCTGTAGTGGCTTGAACATAGACAAAGAGATGGCCATCGGAGAGAGAGAGCGAGCATCGAGAGTCTAGATGGAGAGAATACAAACAAATTTGGCATTGGGAGGCCGGACTCTGGCCTAGAGAGTTATAGAGTGAGAGGGTATAAAAAAAATCCAACGACATGGATGGCTGTAGAAGGTATTTTTAATGGTTCAAACTTACGAAACTAACATTTTTTCTCAACAAGTTATCTGCGAGTGGACCTATTAAGAACTCGTTATTAACCGATTCTTAATGGGTGACCTGATAACGATCCGACTAGTTAACGTGTTGACAAAAAACCCATTATTTTCGTATCATTTGTGTCAAATTAATAAGCCGTGCACGAAATTGTCAGATCTAATTCCAATGGGCTAATTGAAAGTAAAGGGTTAATTAGGGATTGGCATGATAATTAGATTATTGGTTTTATGAAAGTGGTTCGGGAATTTCTCTGCTTTGCACTATGGTTTGAAGATGGCTAAAACAAGAAACTTTTCTCATCTGATTGTGGAGGTGGATTCTTCTTTGGTGAATGATTGTTTTGGTATTGCTAGAGCTAAATTAGTTATTTTTTGGTGTTTCTCTCTTCTTCTCCCATATAGTCGAAAAATCTCGTGAATAAATAGAGAAAAGTCGAAACTCAAATCTCAAAAGTGATTATAACTTTAACAAGTCAAAGTTTAGTGTGACGATCATGGGATTGACTAGACCTGTAAAGTGGTCGGGTTTATTGGGTTTCGGGTTGAACCCGACCCTTTAAGCTAATGGGTCACCTGAACCTAATCCGTTAAGCTAACGGATCACCCATTTCAACCTATTTCACCCGTTAACCTTTTTTTTTTTTCTTTTTTTCTTTTTTTTTTTTTACACAAATTTCATCCAAATCAATTAGATCTATTCTTAGCATCCTAGTGCTTGTGCTAGCCACCTCCTTCCTTCATTTGGTTTGTGTGCATATGCAAGTCATGGAGTGATTTGATGAACACCTGGAGCTTTATCACGATGCACAAGAATACAAGATTGGGAATGTCACAAAACATGTTTATGTCTGTCATGTTTACTTTGCCTCAAGAACTAATGAAACAACTACAACCACGACCCATGGTTGCAACGAGCATTGCTGATCAACAAACCAAGGGGTTGCCGCATATAAACTTCCTCACTCAAAGAACCATGTAGAAACACATTTTGAACATCAAGTTGATTAATAGGCCAATTAAAATGGATAACAACTGATTAAATTAAAACACAGATCCATTACATGCGTCTCCAAATCTTAACATAGATCAGGAAATTGTTTAAATAAAACATAGTAATTCTCTTTCTCGAGTCTCAATCAATGTCTCACTGCAGAGTCTACAGTGGCTCTATTTCTTCTTGCATTGCATGATTGCATTCTCTGCTGCTTTTTTGCCAACCTTCTTCTTGCATTGCATCCTCTGCTTCTTTTTTGCCTTCAACATTCACCTTAAGTGAAAATTTCCTTGACAAGTGAAATTTCCATTAGTAAGAAGCTTGTCACAATAAAAGTAAGCATTAATCTTGCACAATCCATCCTAATCATTAAACATCACAGAAAAATATCTTTAAAAGAACAAGTTAAATACATACCATGCTTAATCAAGACTAATAGTATTGGAGCATTGTCCCGAGTTTTCGTTAAGGCTCATGTCAAAAATTTCTTTGGTGAGTTCTTCCAAGTCAGCACCCTTTTTCTCTAAAGCTAAACAAACTCCAATTGTTTAACCATCTTCAATGAAAGGCCAACTTTAATTTTTCATTCCCCCAATTAAACCGCTAAACTCACAGAACCTGGGTTTTAAACCAACCTAAGCACATAATGAAACCATTATGCAAAAACAGCAAGCAATGCAAACCATTAAGTGTATATGCAATACCTACTTGCACATTATTATGAATGTCCATTGCGTGGTTTAGTTCAAATCCTCTAGCCTCATACACAACCCATAAAAGCCATTTAGAAACCAAACCCCCCCTCTCTTTGCAATTTAGCTCACAAACCCAATTGAATCAAAACAAATTCAATCAGGAAACAAAAAGTTAAGAACAGCCTTAATTAACTGAGTATACCAAAGAATCAAATTAAACACAAATTCTTAAAGTTTGGCATCCCAATAATCAAATAAGGAAAAACAACAATGTGTGTACTGTGTGTGTGAGTGCATGTGCTGCATAAGTGCGTAAGCGTTTATTGTATTGCTGAGGAAAAACAACAAAATCTTCCAAGTGATAAAAAAAGGCGTAAGCGTGTGAGTATATATTGTATGTGTTGTGTACATGACAGTGTTCGTGTGACATTGCATGTGCGTGTACTGTGTATGTGTATAAAATGTGTGTAAGTGTAGGTAAGTGTGTGTACTCTGTGTTGATAAGTGCCATTGCCAGTTCTCGATCCACAATCACGAGACAGTGCAAATATAAAGCATGACTTCAAATTAATTACTAAAGTTCTATGTAATAAACATCCAGAGTCTCAAGTCTGGGTAATTCACACCAAAGTCTCAAGTCTCAATCAAATTAATTACTAAGCAGTAAGCACCTATGAATATAAGAAGCGCCTAAAAGGGAAACATTTCGAAGGCCAGGAGAAAAATAGAAGGAAATATATAAGTATGAGCAGCAGAGCAAGATGCCTACACAGCGCAGATATAGAAACTTACTGAGCATTGAGTAGTAACTTATGTTGTTCGTATCAATTTCAGTAAAACCAAACAACAACAACAACCCAATTCCAATCCAAAAACCAACCAAAACAAAGCAAACTCAATACTTTTAACTTCATGAGCCTCGGATCTGCAAAACATGAGCCTTAACGAATTACACACCTCGGCATTAACGAATTGCAATCAATACTTTTAACTTCATGAGCCTTAACGAATCGCAAAACATTTCTTCTTTCGTCATCCATTACTTTTAATCGATGTGAAGAAATAGGTAAATTAACAGCTCCAAAATTACCCAAAAATGAAAATTTTAATTGGAGAATATACTTATGAACAAATTTTACACAAAACCCATATCCAAAACACAACCAAAAAAAAAAAAAAGAAAGAAAACCAAAGGTGGAAGGGAAGGAGCACAACCCATGAACAAATTTCAGTATGTATATTCTTACGCATGAAAGAAGAGGTGGAATTGTGGAAGGGAATCGGAGCTTACCAGAGTGGTGGAGCCGGAAGGGAAGGAGCACAACGATGGCCGATGAGTGATCTCTCAGTCTCAAAGAGCAAAGCCGTGCGACAGTGCGAGAGAGAGACGTGAGGAACCTGAGCCCTGAGGGTTTTCTATTAGGACTGTTGAAATTACACAAAAGTCCTCAATAACGGACCTTAACGGGTTTCACGGGTTCATCCAAAATGACCTGTTATTTAACGGGTGATTAACGAGTTAACCCGTTAACCCATTAACCACTCGACCCGTTTATCACCAATCTGAATATTAATTTTAACGGGTAGGATCGAGTCGGATGAAAAATGCCAGGTCTAGGATTGACATGACAAACCCAAATTACCTGATTCGACGAGGTGGTCTTGTAGTGCTAACGAAAGAAAATTACAAAACAAAACTACGCGTGTTGACGCTCTAGACCAAAAGAAATTGGAAAAAATTAGCCCCTTTGGTATACCTACAAATTAATATCTGTAAACAACTTATCAACTTGTGGCTGTAGTTTAGTGGTAAGAATTCCACGTTGTGGCCGTGGAGACCTGGGCTCGAATCCCAGCAGCCACACTTGCTTTCTTTTTATTTTCCCTCTTTTATTTTTCAATACCGACACGCAATACGACGCCGTTTCATCACTGTGATATATCAGTTTGTGTCTCTCCTCGACGCACAGCACAAACAGTTTTCGCTAGTTTCAGAAGGCTCAAGCTTCGTCATTGACTGAGTAATCGACTCCAAAAACTGTAAGATTCTCGTCCTGTTTCTCAATTCTTCGGATTATGATCACTTCGATCCGTAAGATCTCGAAATTCATGATTCCAGTTCCAAATTCTTTGCTTATCCATTTTGTAGATCTATATTCTGGACCGAGTCATTTGGAATTTTTTTAATTATTAATTTGGTTATGGGTTTTGTATTTTAAGTCGAAAATTTGAATTCTTTGAAAGAATCAAGTTTTGATGTATTTGGGTTTTGAAATTGGATGCTTAGCTGAATACGGATACGAAATTCAAGCATTGTTTTGCTAGTGTAATTGTGAGGAATGAAGGGTAACTCAAAGGAAGCATAAGAATTTTTAATCGCTACGTATACATTTGCGTCGAGAATTTAAGTGTAATGGGTGTTTTATGATCTACGAAATGTTGCCAAAGGAAAACAATTGGGGACGAATAGATGTAGTAATATGAGTTGGATGCATGAAAGGTTTAGTTGGGTATGATTTTCTGTTTTCTTGGAACACTTAACGTTTCCGATTAATATACAAGTTATAAACACAACCCGATTTCCTCTATATGCTTTATTTGTTGATTTCAATCGTTTCTGCGATGTTGCTTGTTTTCTGGTTGATAGTTTTTGAGTTTGAACTTCATTTAGATGTGATCTTTTTGTAGGGTCAACTAGGGCACGTTTTGATAACCATTTCATTTTTGGTCTTCTAGTTTTCATTTTTTGTGCTTTAGATAGAGGAAAAGTATGTGGGAGAAATGAGGCGCGAGAAGGATGAAGGGAGGTGATGGGAGCGATGATGGAGAAATAAAGGAGATTATCTGAAAACGAAAACTTGAAAGTGAAAACAACTTAAATTTTTTTTACAGTTTTTGGGTTTTAGTTTTCATTTGTTGTGTCATTCCCTACACATTCCTTTCACATTTATTCCGTCATCCTTCCTTCACCCCTATTCCGTCATCTGACAAGTGTGTGTAGGAAACCTATTTTAACAAGTATTTCACATGATATTGAGGAACACTGAATTGTTCTGCTAAACTTTCTAGTTTTTTTCGTTTTGATGTTACAGATGATGGATGATCAGGACCTGGGCTTCTTTGCCAATTTTCTCGGCATCTTCATATTTGTACTGGTAATAGCGTATCATTATGTGATGGCCGACCCAAAATATGAAGGCAACTAATGATCTGTTTCTTTTTTATGTATTTGCAATAGAGATGCAATTTTCTTGCGACTAATGGAGATATCCTATTAATTTGTAGCGTGAACTATTTCAGACCGGATGCAGCTTGATTTACGTTATACAATATGACTATGTTCTGTTATACACATTACTTTCTTCTCTGTTTTATCTGTGCTTCATATTTAATTTTCCACACCTTTGCATTATGAAGGGTGTTGTCTGTGTTCGGATTGTGTTTTGAAAGTTCCCATCGGCTGTGGTAATGAATCAAGTGATCTATTGTTCGTAGAAAGTGCGAAAAGCATATTTTTAGGGTTCACCGAAAAGAAAATTCTTTTTGGTGCATTGTTCAGGAGGATTAGGATTCATGGTTATGGATATGATCTAGCCAAATTACAATGTGTACTGAGGTCAATTGAAGATTGACAAATCTAATAGCATTTGCCAATTAGTTAGATGTATTATTAAAGTTAACCATCTCTCATAGGAGCTATGTGTTATAATTCTGACTCTCCTCTTGATGTTGCTCTTTGACGTATCCCGCAAGAGACTAAACTTAGCAAATTGGAGAATAACTAGAAATACACAAGAATTATATTGGTTTGGCGGAACTTTTGCCTATATCCAGTTGTGATTTTCTTGAGTAGAGAAACCACGGTTTCTTTGATTAACAATAGAGTTACAGTATTTTTGCAAACCCTAGAACTAATCCCTCTCTTTCACGCGCTGTCTTTCTCTTTCCAGCGGTTGTCTCTAGCTTCACACACTTTCCATAGCCTTGCCACACCCTATTTTTAAGTATAGGGTGGCTATTTTATGATTAGTTTCTTACTCTAAAGAACACTTTCTTTCCTTTTCCAAATTATCGTATAGGATTCCCAATCTAATTGTACAAGAAAACTTTGATTCTTTCCTAGTCCTTTTATTAAAATAATCGGTACACCTTTAATTTTCTTACTATAACATAAACAAAATAGGACACTAATTGTGAGTCTCTGACGAGCCAAAATCTTAAACACTATGTAGGCGCATTCAATTTGACTAGTTTTTTCAATTCTTTCTTCATCTCCATTGCTTCTCTCATCACGCTTGAAATGCAGAATCCCAGGCTAGTCAAACAAAGAATCATTTGGCTCTTCTGTTTCTCTTCAATGTCACTAGTATGTACCTTGTCAGCCACTTCCTGCAAATGTTGAAGAAAACTACTCACAATAGTCTCAACCTCTTTATCATCAGCACAACCCAAAGTCGCAAATCCCCTTGGTGGTTTGCCCAATTCACTGTCGTGGTAATCACTTTCCGACATTGTCTCGGATACCGGCATGGGCTTGATCGAAGACGCCTCCTCAAGGCAAACCTTTAGCAGCTCTAGATCAGCATTCATTTGTTGCCTTAGTTCCTCCCAAACACCTCCAAAGTTCTGCTCTACTTGTGCGAGAAACTCCGTCTTATAGGCCACAAATAGTAAAAGATCAGCGATTTTTGATAAAGATCCTAGCACCCGATTGTAACCGGCACGCTGGAAGGGCAAGAACCAGCAATTAGGCTCTGTTTCAGCTTCTTGGATGAATGTTTCTAGTTCTTTCATATGGGACTTGAGCTTCCTCCGCTTTTCCCTCAATCCTGTGGAAGCTGGTACACAAAGATTTACTCCGATACAATCTCGAAGCGCCTCCATGCTTTGTGAGAGCTTATTTTTTGCTAGGGTCGCTGCTCTCATCGGATAAAAGACAATCTCTACAAAAAGGAAACAAAGCAGTCCAATGGATGCCTCTATCATTCTTGTAAATGCAAATTCACTTGGAGGACCATAGTTTTCCCTACCCAAGATAAGTAATGCTCCAATGGCTGCCGAGATCCCACCAGCTTGGCCATACATCCTGCTATGCCTAAGAAAATGGCAAAAAAAGATCCAAGGTATGAGTGGTACGAGCTTGAATTTCTCAAGTCTTTGGAAAATAAATAACCATATGATTCCGTAGATCGATCCCAGTGCCGTTCCTTGAACTCGAGCATTTGTAACTGTGAATGTTGCTTGCCGTCCTGTTACAAAGCTGATGGCAATGGTGAGGCCTGACCAGTACCCGTTTTCCTTGTTATACAACAGGCCGAATAACACAGCAAGGCCTAATGCAAGTGAGCACTTGAGAGCAAAAATTATACTCCTGGTACTTGGGATTATGTTTCTCCAAACACTTTTGAAGTTCCACCACTGTTGATTTTGCGAATCACTCGGTTCTTGGTTAGGTTTCCTAGTGTTTCCAGGATTCCGGGCAATGGGTTGGTTTTCTAGGAGGAGTTCCATGCAGTACAAGAAGAAGAAAGCCGGAAGATTCTCACGGTTATTGGTGGTGGGTTTTCCGGCCCAAAGTGGCTTGTCGAAGATTTCTCTGTATGGCTCCGGAGCCAATGTTGCATCGGAAGGCAAAGAGTACTTAGCTTGCAGAAGCCTTAGCCTAACCTGTACTTCTGAACTTTGTAAATTGCGTCTTAGCTCTTCATCAATTAGGTTTACAGGATGTGAAGAGCAACTAGATAAGGCTATTTCCATTCCCCTCAGTGGAACCTCAATTTCTTGCAACCTTTCACCTGAGTCCAGATAATTTGGTTTCAGAAATTTGATATGTGGTCTCTCCCACACCATCGTTTCCTGCTTACAAAGAAACGAAAACCTTTAATTTGCTTACGGGGCTAATTCACAAATCTCAAACTTAATTGCCTATCACAGTTTGAAAAGTGCAGAAATTTTTTTTGTTTCGTGCTTTTTATGAGCTATTTTTGTATTTATGTCAAACTGTAATTTACAGGAAGAAGCAAAGTAATGTCCTTTTATGAGTTATTAGTAGCTTACCAGATTATTACTGATGCTTTGAAGAAGCTTAGCTGCTTCTTTAGAGAGAGATTGTCCTTGAGAGAGGAGTTCGAGTGCTCCGCTCTTGTCCCGGGAAGAGATGGCCTCAACGAAGCGAGCTAACCTCTGAGAAGCATTTCCGGCATACATGCGCCACGATTTACTGACCTGTGAATGCATTATTTCCGTTTCAGTTTACATAATTTGCACAATGTGCTTATTCCCTTGCAGGCACAATCCTACTATTTGCAGTATGGCTGGAATGTGATCTAGCTAGAAGAAGTAGTTCTTGTTGTTTCAGTGTGGTGTTTTATTCGATTTGTACATCGTTAGCCAAACAGATCTTTTAGCATATCAAGCGGGAGATATGATCAATTACCACAAAAATGTTAACAGTACGATATTCTAAATTACTATAACTTATAGAAGAGATAGCATACACACTATTTTAATCATCCGTTGCATGCATGCAAATGCTAGATACTACATAGATTTGCTTTTTCTTTATCAATAAGGAAGGAAAATAAAGTTTTGACGTAACCTAATTTTAATATGTTTTCTTACACGTTCTCACCACTTGAACTAACCCGAATGGCTTACATGGATCGTTTTCTTGTTCTTTAGGGTTTAAGAGACAATTAGACAAGACCAAAGGGCTTTTATTGTTGTTTCCATTCCGGCAGTCTCGACATATAACAACCTGCCATCTGCCGTACGACGCTGTTTTGTAGTAAACTTTGTGTTTCCAAAATTAGCGGGATGCATGTATTATAATTTCCTTCATTCTGATTGGTTCAGTTGTCAAAGCTCTAAACTATTACAGTTTAGACATATAAAATGCAAATAATTAGTAGTTTTTAACTGATAAGTATATATAGAAGCTGTTAGACAATGATGGCTGTATAGTAGATTGATTAGGCGCCCAACCTCCACCCTCTCTATTTAGCTAGCAACGTAAGTTTGACAAGAAAATATTACTTAGTAAAATACACTTGTAAAGAGTTCCAAAAAAAAAAAAAAAGGATAGTTACCTCATAGTAAGATAGCCGAGGATAAGGAAACAACATAGCAACAACAGAAGCGAAAGCTCCAAGGACAGTGCTTGATGCAACGCCAAGTGGATGCATGACAACTCCAGTTTGTGCCCCATGAATCACAGTGCCAACATAAACACTCACAAACTGCCCAAACGCAATTCTCTTCGACATCAAGTGCGTGGACTCCGGCAATGCCACCACAAAAGCACTCAGAGCAACTGCCACCACCGCTATCTCCACCGTGAAGTTTTTAGGCTCCACCAGCCAAAGGGTCAGCACAGAAGACAAAAGTACCTGTGCCGTGGCAAAGATCACATGCCAACAGCTTCTCATGACGTCCCCAAGCGTTGCGTCCGGGGCTATTAGGATTGTGGTCATGTACGAAAAGGACGGGTAGGTTATGTACTTTTTAAGTTGTGGAGGTCCATAGAGGACGGTGCAGTCGACAATGGTGCATGCCAAAGCCGTGCGAAGGGCGGAGCCTAGGCGCATCCGCCACAGCGATTGGGTTTGGTAATCCCCCATTGTCGTGGAGACAGACAATTTATGCTCACGGACACTTGGTGAAACAAGGAATTAATGGTGTGAATTCGGATGGAAGGGTTTTTACCCTAAGTGTTGGGAAGCTTGTTGGTTTTGCTTACAACCTGATGACTGATGAGCATGCATGAAGGGTCGAGAGGAAAGGCTGGTTTGGAGGAGAAGGAATACATACATTATAGATGTTCTCATGGAGCAACTTGTATATTATATTTATACTAGAAGCTTGACCTAACTCAACATTTAATCACAGGCATATATATATATATTATTTTTTTATTTTATCTTTTTGCTACTGGAGAAAATAAGAGTTTTGAAATAAATTAAAAGAAAGGAAATAGGCCATTAGAGTGACATCATGTTTCAATTGATGGGTTGGCAAAAGGACCAAGTGAGTAAAACACACACTATTTGGCCCTTAAAATCTTGGAAAAGTAATTTAAAACTTAAGGCTCTTTTTATAAATTTGTGTTTTCTTCTTTTCGACTTAAAATTACCAAAAGAACTATGGGGAAGCATATGTGGGAGTAGCTACATTCGCTAGATTGAATGTGTTTCTTCCATGTGTACTGAGGGAGTAGCCACATTCGCTAGACCGAATGTGTTCCTTCCATGTGTACTGAGTTTGAATCCCCCTCCCTTCAATTTAGATTAGTTTAAAATAAAATATTGCTTTGGTGGTTAGGCTCTTTCTATTCAACCTATTATGTCACGGGTTGAAACCATCCTCCCCTCCTTCCCACCCTAAAAAAAAATTAGGATAAATAAGTGTAGAATATCGTTTATAATAAAAATAATCCTCATTCCTTTAGTGTAAATATATGTTGCATAAAAAAATGGAGAAAGACTAAAGACAGAAAAGTGAGAAAACAGATTTTAGTTTTTATTAGAAAGATAAAGTTTTACATACCTACCTTCATGTGAGAAATATTAAAATTTTGCTTAATCTAGATCATTAGCTACTAAAATCTCCTAATCAAAATTGAAGTTTGTGGTATCTTTGTGTAGTTTGTTTGTCATTTTAAAGCTTATATTTGGTTAATTGCAGCATGGATCTGCCATCTATATTTAAGCTACTAGAATCTTATATGTCAATTCGGATTTTTTTTTTTCCTGCCCATTTGTCCTACAGTTTTCGTAAGCATCGACCATGGAGACTTTGTGATCGTTCCTTTCCTACAACTCAACATTTGAGGAACTACTTATTTAATAATTTGATTTACTCCTTTTTTTTTTTGTTATGAATAATTTATGAATATATGTTTATAAATTATAGGGTTAGGTACAAAAACTACTCAACATTTTGGGGTGATCCCAAAGTAATCTCAACCTTTCAAAACATTAACTACCTAACGTTTTGAAAATTAGACAACTAATAAGTTACTAGGAACTTTATCAACATTAAGTGTTGACATCAATAACATTAAGTGATGAGGTGGACAAATACTAAAGTTGGCTTTCACTAATTGACATCTTTGGAGTTCTAATCCTCCAAATTGACCCATTTTATCCAAGTTAAACCATAAATTTGCTTAGCTACATGGCGTCAATTTGGAGATACAAATCTCTATAGGTGACTTGAGAGTCAAACCACACTTAATATCCGTTCATGTCATCCCTTAAGAGTGAGGATCCTCGCCGGATCCTCAAATCACATCCGTTCATCGTATATTGTGTGGAGATACAAATCTCTATAGGTGACTTGAGAGTCAAACCACGCTTAATATCCATTCATGTCATCCCTTGAGAGTGAGGATCCTCGCCGGATCCTCAAATCACATCCGTTCATCGTATATCGTACGGTAAAAAATCATTGTAATTTTTTTATTTAAAATTGAATATAAATAGTACTTGACGAAAACTGGCCGCACGATGCACAATGAACAGATGTGATTGGAGGATCCCCGGGATCCTCACAAAGAGGATTTGGCAAGGATCCTCTCTAATCCCCTTAATAGATGTCAATTTTCAAAACTTTAGATAGTTATTTGGAACATTTTAAAGGTTAGGACCAATTTGAAATTACCACTAAAAGTTTCGTAGTTATCTGCACATAACCCTAAATTGTATCCCAAGAAAGTGACTTTGAAATTTTTTATTTTTTTAATACAAAAAACTATTACTACTTTAATTTACATTAGAAGAGATTTAAACCTGAGACACAGAAAGTTGATGAAGAAATCACTAAATCTGTTACCAGGTAATCGACTAAGTACAAGTGACTTGAACATTTGATACCAGTAAAGTAATTTTACCAGGAATGAGAATACTTTTCATCACAACCGTAAATCTGTTACCAAACCCATTAATTATTGTGCCGGTCGGCTCCAGAATACCAGATTTTATGCCTTTGGAATCAGTTCTTGTGTACCATTTCTGGACAAGTTAAATATTTGAGTACTGTTGAAGCTGCTTTGTGTAAAAAAGGAAAGGAATGGGTGAACCACGAACCAGCAAGTAGATTATGATAAGTTAACCATAGTCATTAAGTGACTAATCACCGTATTAGGCCGGGCCTAAGTGACTGATCATAGTCATTAATGACAGGTCTATTAACAGAAAATGGTTAGTTGATTAGGGTCATAACCAAACTTGCAATTTTGGGCATGTGTATCATGTTCTGCTTCATTCCCAAGTAACTGTTTGGAGGTTTGTGATCATATCTTAATTGGGTTTTTGTTGATTCTTAGAATCCATTATTGGGACAAAATAGATAGGGAAATGATTTTCTGCACCTCGTTTTCTCCTTTCCTTGTTTATTTTTGTCTCTTAGTTCTTCTTTAATTTCTTCAATCTAAAGGTCAGAAATAAACACCAAATGTGCAAAAATTACTTCCCAATAAATATATTATCACGTTTGACGGTGGCCAATTGTTGATGTATGTGAAAGCATAAATTCTGAAATATGAATAGCTAAACAAACAATCTAGAAGCATTAACGGCTAATAAACACCGAGACGCTTGTGAATGACTGACTAGTATTTTCCCTACCATATAGTCCATATCAATATGGCAATATCTAAGCTAACATGTCTTGTCAAGGAAGCGTTCTTAGTTATCCCTGACTATATATCTTCTTGTATCTATCTGTCTCATCATGTGTACCGATTACAAGACAAATTTTCTCCTTGTTTAGACTCAAAAGAATTAGGTTACACAACTACATTTACAAAAATAACAAAGCAAACCGTCCATCCATAGCAAACAATCACCTTATACCAGAAGGGTGGGTTTTATGTTTGGCTCTCATTTATAACCAATGAAAATAATGACTGCTTGGATTTATATGGTCGAAATATTCGAAGCATTTACTAAAATCTTCATTTCAATCGCATCATCCCTTTTCTTTTGTGGTATTAAGAAAAAGAAAGAGACCTTGACAACAAAATATAAAAAAACAAAGAGCTGGGAAAAGAAAATAAATAAGTAAATATTTGAGAGGGAAATTCAACTCATGAGCTAACAACTACAACGATTACTAAGAAACGACAGCTGTCTATTTATACATTTGTGTATTTTTTTACTAGACAGTCTAGCATATTATGTTACTATCACCATGCAGTTGGGCATAATTCTAGTAATTGACAACTTTACAACACGAATGCCTAACATGAAGACATCTTTTTCTAGTGTGAGAGCTCCTAGTATGTTGTTAGGTTGTGAATCATAATCCGGCATTCAAATAAAATTTCACTTAATCAACAGCCATTGACTAGTTTTCACAAAGTGTACAAACTGCAAGCATGCATGAACTCCATTTATCTTGTCTAATAAAACAAATTCATGTTTCAGCAATGCATGCAAACATGCCTAGTTACCTTCCTAACTTGGAATTCCCAATGGGGTTAATATCAGAGATGGGTAGTAGTCCGAGGCAATAGGGCCTGAGTCAAATTTGGTGTAAATTCGACTCGATGTGACTCGTCCCCTTTCGTGTGACTTCATACGATTAAGAAGAAAACAAACTTATAACAAGTAAAATGCCTAATTGCCCTCGAAATATAGACCAATATATTACCAATATACCCAAAAATTAAACGAATTAGCTCCTAAGCCAGATCAAATCAAAACCTCCGTAACTGGCTAATACGAGCTGTTCCACGCTGCGCATAATGTCAGTTAAACACAAAAGAACCTACAATCTTAGTCATAACCTATTCCTAAGTTTATTGGACGGTCTGTGGATCCACCATACACTTTGTCGTATTATCTTGAACTTATTCTTATTTTGTTACCATTCACACTGCCCAACTGTAGCGTAGCATGGTTCGTTGGGCTCAAATGGAATTAAAAGAACGACCCCAACTAACAAGGTTCCCCGCTTTGCGCCCGCCGGGGGTTGGGAATTCTCTCTTTTAAACTTGTGCAAAGAAGGCAGAAGAGTGGCAGAACAGTTTTACCTTCTTCCAGTCCCCAAGGGCTGCGTCACTTGATTGTGTAATTCCGATGAAGAAAGATAGTTGAAGACTTCTTGAGCGAATCCGAGAGAGAAACTTCAATGGTGGAGAAAATCGCAGCTCTTGCTTGCAGTAGGAAGTAGACTTCCTCTTCTGGCCTTGGCTTTTCCCATCACTTCCTGAAACATTTCCTGCACAATAAATACTTCTAAGCTTAGAATGCTGAAATTAAAAGGGGATTTGACAGTAACTGTGGCGTGCAACAAGAAAGAAAAAGGAAAACCGTAGAGTAGACATGATTTGCTTAAATCAAGGTGATCAAATAGATTTGACCTAAGTTTAAATAAATGGAAATTCAATCAGGGACGACAAATACACACTTTTAAGTCAGTTCTAACACACTGTCCAATGCCGAAAACCAGAATACAAAACTGAGTTAAATGTTTGAGTTCTGCAAACCAGATATGTTTTATACGGTCTACCGGAGTAACATAACACATGATTATAACCAGACAGAAAATATATACATGCACATGTGAATATAAACATATATAACCTTCAATTTTTCAAGGGTTTCCAGATCTTGTGACAGCACCAGACATGTGCTTTTTATTGCTTTCTTCACCAGGCACATTATTGTCCTTGTCAGCTGAAGGAGAGACGGCTATTTTCTTCATTGATCCACCACTTTTCTCTTCCTTTCCATTGTTTTCAGGAACCGTTACATTCTCTTCAGAAGAATGTGTGGAACGAGTTGACCTGCTCGTGTTGGTTGTAACCG